TATTGGTGACATTGACACTGCTGAGGAAAGAGACATTATAATGCAAGTCAAAGGGGGGCAACTTCAACGCATTGATGAGTTTCATCCAGCTTACTTGTCTTACCAGTATCCCTTGATTTTTCCTTATGGAGAGGATGGATATAGAGGCGCCATTGCACACAGAGATCTTGACATTTTTGATGACAGTCAAAGGAATCGACTAACTATTCGAGAATGGCTAGCATTTAGAATCCAAAGTAGGTGCAATGAGGAAAAGACTTTGTCGTCATTCAGAATATTGTTCCAACAGTTTTTGGTGGATGGTTACACAATGCTTGAAGGAGAGAGATTGAAATGGATTAGGAAAAATCAGTCCAAACTAAGAGTGTCAAAGTATACAAGTCTAAATGTAGAGCAAGAACAAACACATGGATCAAGCATAGGAAAAAGAGTCATATTACCATCATCTTATGTGGGGAGTAGACGATTTATGGATCAGTTGTATTATGATGGCATGGCAATTTGTAGTAAGGTGGGATTTCCAGATCTTTTCATTACATTCACATGCAACCCAAATTGGCCAGAAATTCAAAGATTGCTTGGTCCTCTAAATTTGAAGCCACATGATAGACCTGATATCGTTGCTAGAATATTTAAAATGAAGTTTGATAACCTCCTAGAGGACGTGACAAAGAAAGGTGTTTTAGGAAAGGTTCTCGCATGTAAGTCTACCATTTCTTTTTTGCTAGCATTTTACTTTATCCAATGTTTACACATAAAGGGGTCTCCCACATGCACACATTCTTATTTACCCAATTCTCATATGTATTTATTTTTTTAACATTTGAAAATATTTTCATATATGTACACAATTGAATTTCAGAAAAGGGGTCCCCCACATGCACACATTCTTATTTCCTTGCATCCATCAAATAAATATCCCGCTCCTGAAGGCATAGAAAAAATCATTTCTGCTGAAGTTCCCGATCCATTGAAACATCCAAGACTGTATAATCTGGTGAAAACCCACATGGTACATGGACCTTGTGGTTTAGAAAATCCTAAATGCCCTTGCATGAAAGATGGTAAGTGTTCCAAATACTATCCTAAGAAATTCAAGATGTCATAATTGTTGATCAAGATGGATATCCAGTTTATAGAAGGAGAGATCAAGGTAATACATTTGAGAAAAACAGAGTCACACTGCACAGTGGTCATGTTGTACCCCATAATCCAAGTTTGCTGATGAAATATGAGGCACATATAAATATGGAGTGGTGCAATCAAAGTACGTCAATTAAATATCTTTTCAAATACATCAACAAGGGTTCTGATAGGATCTCGGATGTTATCGTTCCAAATAGCACTGGTCAAGATGGAAATACTGATGAAATCAAGCAATACCTAGATTGTAGATATGTATCACCAAGTGAAGCTTGCTGGAGAATCTTCTCTTATTCAATTCATGGTAGAAAACTAGCTGTTGAAAGATTATTTTTTCACATGGAAGGAGAGAATTATGTGTACTACAAAGATTTTGAGCAAATAGGTAATCTCCTACTTAAACCAAGTGTCACAAAATCAATGTTTACTTCTTGGTTTCTCGCAAATAGCCAATATGAAGAAGCAAGGTCTTTAACATATGGACAATTTGTGTCAAAATTTGTATATGACAAGAGGAAAAGGTGTTGGAAACCACGTAAAAGAGGTTACACAATTGACCGACTCATTTCGGTCCCACCAACGACCGAAGAATTGTATTATATGAGGATGTTGTTGACTGTGAAGAAAGGGCCAAGATCTTATGATGAATTAAAGACAATTGAGGGGTTCAAGCACAATTCTTTTAGAGAAGCATGTTTTGCATTGGGCTTCCTAGAAGATGACAAAGAGTTCATTGAGGAAATTAAAGAAGCTTATAACTAGGGTTCTGGAGTATTTTTGCGTAAACTTTTTGTCACAATGTTATTATCAGCTTCATTGAATCGACCAGAACATGTCTGGCTTTACACTTGGATATACTTATCAGATGGAATTCTATATGAACAAAGACTATTGTCACAAAATCCAGGTTATATCAATACATATTTTTTATATCTATGTCACAATAAGTTATATTTTATCGCCTCCATTTTATTGCTTACAACACTTTTGTTGACAACACTTTTATTCACTTTTACAACACTTTTACAATACTTTTATTCAATATTATTTTTTTATTACTTAACGTTTATTTTTTTTTGTAGATTTAACTTTGTCAGATGAAGATATTCAACAACTCACTTTGATGGAAATTGAGAAGCAGCTGCAGAAAAATAGAAGAAGTTTGAAAGAATTTAAGCCAATGCCATTTCCAAATAATTATGTCCTTGACTTTCTTGGAAATAGATTGATATATGATGAAAGACAATATGATATCAAGGCTCAAGAAGAGATTTACCACAGTCTATTTGAAAAATTAACGGGTATTGATTTTACTATTATTTCAATAATATTACTTTATGCTTTATTAAGCCTTCTATAATAGTTGTTCATCTTCATTCTCATCAAGTTAAACACATATGCGGTATCTATTCTATACTGTTCATGGAGTAGATTTTAGTAATTATATATTCAATATATTCATTATATGGTAATGGTTATGGTATACCTCATAACAGGAATTGAACATTTAAACTTTGCTAATGTAACAACTTTGATGGTGTGTTCATTTTGAATGTAGATGAACAACATGAAATTTTTAGACAAGTTATGCAAGCTGTCACAAATCAAAATGGTGGAGTTTTTTTCTTATATGGTTATGGTGGGATTGGAAAGACTTTCATGTGGAACACACTTTCTGCTGCTTTGTGTTGTCAAGGAGATATTGTGTTAAATGTAGCATCTAGTGGAATAGAAAGTTTGTTGTTACCAGGTGGGAGAACTGCACATTCAAAATTCAAAATTTCAGTTCCATGTCTGGAATCTTCCATCTGTAACATTGAGAAAAAACCAGATCTTGCTAATCTCTTGAAGGTAACAAAACTCATTATATGGGATGAAGCACCTATGGCTAATAAGTTTTGTTTTGAAGCTCTTGACAAGTCATTGAAGGATATAATGAGTGATGACAATGTTGAATGTCAACAAATTTTTGGAGGTAAAGTTGTAATTTTTGGTGGAGATTTCAGACAAATTTTACCTATTGTACCACGAATTACTAGGTCTGATATTGTCCATGCAACAATAAATGCATCATATATTTGGGATCATTGTAAAGTTTTGAATCTAACCAAAAATATGAGATTGCAAAGTGGTCCTAATTTAAGCAATTCAGAAGAAGTTAGGCTATTCTCAGATTGGATTTTACAAGTTGGCAATGGGAAAGTCTCAGAACCCAATGATGGCTATGTTGAAATAGATATTCCTAAAGAGCTACTCATTAGAGATTTTGTGGATCCAATTGAGGCAATTGTTACAAGTACCTATCCAAATCTACTTCAAAATTACACAAATCTAGATTTCCTTCAATGTCGAGCAATTTTAGCATCAACTATTGAAATTGTTGACGGCATTAATGACTACATAACTAATCTTCTTTCAGGTATATTTTAATCTCTATTAGTTATGTCTGATACATGAATACTCTTTTCTTTAAAAATTTGTATTTTAGTAAAGTTGGACTATTAAATATGATATTTAAGAGTTGTATACTCTTTTTGTTTCAAATATATAAATATTTATACCTTAATAATCATTCTTTTTCATGAAGGTGAATGTAAAGAGTATTTGAGTTGTGATTCCATTGATAGATAAAAAACAAATGATAATTATGCTTTCGAGTATTTGACACCAGAATTCTTGAGTTGTCTTAAAACTTCTGGTTTGCCTAACCATTCATTGAAATTGAAAATTGGTACAACCATTATGTTGATAAGGAATTTGGATCAATCAGAAGGGTTTTGCAATGGTAGAAGGTTGACAGTTACTAAGTTAGCCAACTATGTAATACAAGTAAAGATAATTTCAGGTACAAATATCGGAAACACTATTTACATACCACAAATGTCTTTGTCTCCTTCTCAATCTCCATGGCCATTTAAACTTATCAGAAGACAATTCCCAATTATAGTGTCATTTGCTATGACAATCAACAAATCTCAAGGGCAATCATTAGATTATGTTGGTTTATATTTGCCCAAGAATGTTTTCAGTCACGGACAACTCTATGTTGCTATTTCAAGAGTTAAGAGTAAAGCTGGATTGAAAATCTTAATACATGACAAAGACAACAACTCCTTAACTCAAACAACAAATGTTGTCTTCAAAGAAGTTTTTCACAACGTCATCTACGTACATTTTTACTATTTCTTTAAACTATTAACTTTATTGATAAAAATCTCTTTTTTTGTTTGCTATATTTACTAACACCTACATTTCTTTATTAAGCTTTCACACACTATCATTTTTGAAAAAATAATACAAATGTCACCATGCAAATGTAAGTCATTTTTCAAGATCAAAATAATGTTTTCTCTTTTCTAATTAGAACATTTCTCTAATTCTCATTTTATTTTTCATGCTTGTAGGTTATGTAATCTCTTCAATTGCTTCTAACAAGGCTTACTGTATTATTAGAATCAAAGATTTATTATTATTATTTTTTATTCTATGTTGAACATATTCCAATTGTATTATGCATTATCAATATATTTTAAAACAGTTGAATATTTTCACAATTAATACTGTGAAATTATAATCATTTTGATTTTATTATTTCTATTTAACAAATGTTCTTATATTACAAATTAACTTTTAATATTTCCCAAATTTTATTTTGATAAAGCGACCCCATATACCAAAAAGTAGGATTGGATCCGCAAGTAAATCTTCTGTCAAGGGTCAAGCCCACATCAAAGATGGAAGTTTCGTTTTTCGCATCCCTAATTTCCCTCAATCTTTCTCTTCATTGTTTTATCACATTCACCTTCTTAACTCTTGAGTAATACCCTATAATTTTCTTCTTCTTGTGCATAACAACAATGGAGACCAATGAGAACCCACCAACGAACACCCTCGTTGTAAGAAAACCATGTTTTGGTCTTCCAATCGGTTGTCCTCAATGTTTGTCTGCTTACATCTATCTCAAACTCTCTCAACTTCCATTCCATTTGGATTATCACCTTAACTACCCCGATTCTGGTAAAATCTCAATCTTTGTCTCTTCTAACAATAGCCCTTTCAATTGAATAGTTTTTTTTATTTCAAAGTTTTATCCTTTTAACCATTTGATTGTGTTTTACCCTTCTGGGTCATTTGATATTCATGCCCATTTGATGGAATTATCTTCTTTTTAATGTTTTGGTTTTATTTGTGCAAGTGGGGGCTTGTTTATTTGAGTTGATTTTAGGTTAAAATTTGTTCATGTTGGAATTAGTTTTTGTAATGTGTAATGATTGTTGTTTTGTTTTTTTGATTGGTTGTGGTTTGTGGTGTGCATAGATCAAATTCCTTACTTTGAGGTTGGTGATTATGTGACATATAATAATGATAAGGAAGGGATCATTGGGGGCTTGAAAAGGGATGTAAGTGATTTAGATGTTGGGGTATCTTCACTCCCCGAATGGCTACCGACCAAGGTGATGCTTACGACATGGCTTGCTGATGCACTTGAGTATGAGCTTTGGGTGGGAAGTGACGCTTCGTCGGCTTATAGCATCTATTATTCTGATCTTCCGTGGCCTATAGGAAAGGTTTTGTTTTGGAAGAAAGCTCATTGGGTGAAGCAGAAACATGAGATAAGTAAAGACAATGCTGAAGTAAAGGAAGAAGAGGTTTGTTTTTTTTTCATATTTGCTTTGATGATATTTGGGACTATGAAAAGTTCTACCTTCAATTTATTATGTTTACATGCTGTCTATGCAGCACAAAACTTCAAATTGAAGATGTGTTTGGTGTTTGACACCAGAGCCATCTCAAGTTTTTGGAGGCCCTGTGTAGGTTAGCCACAGTTTAACCATGGCAAAACAGACAAAAGCCCTATTTAATTACGATTTAACCGCCCTCAAAGACGGCCCTGTCTGACACTGACAAAACACTGATGCATACATTCAATCACTTCCATTTTCAAAATTTAACTGGTGTATACGTGTCAATATTTTATCATGTGTCCATGTTAATGCTTCATTGCATGCTATGCATGATTTTATTTTATCTATAATTTCTTACATTTTGGTCATTAATTTCATTTCCGTCCTTTCTGGATGATAGTTTCAATGTTGTTTATGTTCTCTTTGGCTTTGGAGGTATTCATATTTCATACATATTTGCCTGCTGTTGATCGACAGATTTATGGAAGAGCAAACTCTGCATATGATGCTTTGTCAACATTGTTAGGGGAAGAAAACTACTTATTTGAAAACAGGTGAACCTCGTTAGTTTATTATAACTCAGTTTATCTTATGTTAGAAATGTTTCGGTTTATTTTTCATTATTAGAGCAAATTTTGACACTCTGTCCTCCTGGTCATTGCTTGTTTTGTTCGGTTTATGCAGGGCATCAAGCTTGGATGCTATTTTTCTTGCACATGCATTAGTAGTTATTCAAGCTTTTCCTGTGAGTTATGTTACACTATGATTTTTGTTTAAAAGTTAACTATGGATGTCATAGTGATTTTTGCTGGTCGATAAAAATTGAACAAAGAATATGTGTTGTGGTATAAGAGGCGAAAGGAAGCATGTTTTCTATTGCTGAATTTTATTTTACATCATTGATAGCTGAAAAGATTCTGAATGCTGAAACATACTATGTAAAATATGGTCGTCAGCGATCAATGGAACACTAATAGGATAAGTAGTGCTGTGTAGTTTAAATTCAAAGTTTTTCTCCTTAATTATAGTTTAGGTTTGGTCGTTCTCTTGACTCGAGAAACTTGCTCTTGATTGCACCTAGGAGATCCTACCATAGATGTCAAACTCTCGAGTTATCTCGTAGAATTGTATGAGTTTGCGACCTAAGGTATCAAAGTTGTGTTAACTATTACAAAATTGTTTCGTTGTATACCTTAGTAGACTCGCATAGATTCGTAGACTCACATATAATATTGAATTTGAGGATGATTTGATGATAACACAGTTTAATGATTATCTTCCCCTAGACGCAGCTAAATTGACAATGGTTTGCTGTTTTTAATATAAAAATTCAAAATGCATAAAGTTGAAAATATAAGATTTGTAGTGCACAAAACATTAACCTCAGATTTTTTAGTTTCCTTTTCCCAATTTTTTACGCTCGAGATCTTGAATTCTCCACTTGATGAATATCGTAAATTATATGTTTGATTTTTTTCATGTTTTCCCTACGAGTTAAACGATTACTGTTTATGTAGCAGCAGTTATTGCTTATTACAAGCACTCCAGAATTATTATTGATGAAAAGTTTTAATTTATTTCCTGCATTTATGTACCAGGAATCATCAATTTTGCGGTCCAATTTTTTGAAACACGCAAATTTAGTGAGATATGTGCAACAACGTAAGGAAGAACTTATAGAAGCTGCTGGTACGTCTCCGTCTAAGGATCCATATTTTGGTGCATCATCATCAACTTCTGGAGGTCCTTCAACTTCAAGTAAGACATTATCATAATTTTATTTGATATGGTTACCTTAAAAAAACAGAAGAAACCAATGCATCTTTGTTTTTCTTAATTTTTCATTTATACTGTTAGGTTCAAAGTTCAAGAGCAGACATAAAAAGGAGAAAACAAAGGAGGAGAAGAAACAACGAAAAGGGCGAAATATTTTGTGGTAGCACAGCTAGTTGCAGTTGTTCTGTTTCTCAGTATCATGTCTGGATTCAGTGATGACGGGAAGTCGAGTTAGATGATGGCGATTTAGACTATGGTTATGATGAATGAAAATGAAAGGCTAGGCTGAACTTATTCTTGATGTTTCTACATCCTTTTCTGCTGTATCATGGAAATTTAGATATAAGGAAAATGACCATTCATATCAAATTTTGCTACTCTAGGATTTGTTATTTTATTGACTCATTGTCTCAAGTAGTAGCCATACTTTTTCACAGGAACATGATGCGATTTTCTGAGTGGTGGTGAAGGAACAATCACCTGAGAGGACCTCTGTTGGCTTTGTACATTTAAGTTTTTGGAATGATTGTTTACTATCTTGTATGAGGCCTTTTATCTAGGAATGGTTTTTGTAATATGCTTGCTAAATGTTCTGTAGTTACCTCTGTCATCATGCTTAAAATTGAATATTGCCCCTCTGCATTGCTTGCTATAAGCCCTAGTCGCCGCCGTTGTTAATTTTTCCCGACTTTTATCGTGGATTGTTACTTTTTCTAACAATCTTTTCTGGATCAAACTTTTATCACAAATTCCACTTGAAGAAACCTTCATACTTTACGAGTTCAAGAGAAGAGGTTTCTCTTGGTTAATAATAAGATGAAAATATCAGTAAAGATTACAAACAATATATGTATAGAAGTTTCTCTATTAATAGTTCACATGTGTATTTTATAAATGATCACCAAAGTCCTTTATATGGTTGAGCTGCCATTAATTCATATATAAAAGAAAATAATGAAAATAGTTTATATTTGGTCCATAATCAATTGTTTGAAACAATTTTAGGAAACATTTGATTTGATTCACACCATAATCGATTATACAACAATTATAACTGATTATTGAATGATAAATAAAAATGTGCATAATCAGTTATAAGACGCATCTCACCCCATAATCCATTATATATATATATATATATATATATATATATATATATATATATATATATATATATATATATATATATATATATATATATATATATATATATATATATATATATATATATATATATATATATATATATTATATATATATATATATATATATATATATATATATATATATATATATAATATATATATATATATATATATATATATATATATATATATATATATATATATATATATATATATATATATATATATATATATATATATATATATATATATATATATATATATATATATATATATATATATATATATATAATATATATATATATATATATATATATATATATATATATATATATATATATATATATATATATATATATATATATATATATATATATATATATATATATATATATATATTATATATATATATATATATATATATATATATATATATATATATATATATTATATATATATATATATATATATATATATATATATATATATATATATATATATATATATATATATATATATATATATATATATATATATATATATATATATATATATATATATATATATATATATATATATTATATATATTATATATATATATATATATATATATATATATATATATATATATATATATATATATATATATATATATATATATATATATATATATATATATATATATATATATATATATATATATATATATATATATATATATATATATATATATATATATATATATATATATATATATATATATATATATATATATATATATATATATATATATATATATATATATATATATATATATATATATATATATATATATATATATATATATATATATATATATATATATATATATATATATATATATATATATATATATATATATATATAATGGATTATGGGGTGAGATGCGTCTTATAACTGATTATGCACATTTCCATCCTCATAATTGATTATACATATTTCCATACTCGATTCTCGAAGTTAAAATAATTTTTTCCCCTTTTCAATTTTTTAAAGATCTATGTTTTAGAAAATTATTTTTGTGAGTGGGTGCATATAATATTAAGAGAGATACATTACTTTTTGATCTTACCGAACGATCAAAATCTGAGATGGGACAAAAACGAACGTCTGCGATGCTGGGTGTGAAAGAGGAGGAGGGGGTGTACCTGCAAGGCACTACGATGTTAAAGTAAGAAAACGAGCAAGAGAGTGAGTAAGTACATAATATATGTGTTTCAAGGTGAGAAATTAGATACTTGACCCTCTCGAATGAGAGAGTTTTTATAACGCCCCCAGTGCTTGGCCATTGGTCTCTATTTTCGGGGCGAGATAACTGTTTTCCGACAAATAGGTAATTGCCAGAAATAGTCGTTGGGACGGGAAGACGTGCTCATAACTAGCCATTGGCACGGGAAGAGATGTAGTTACGGGCACAAGCGTCTTGGCTGTTTCTGAATGGTGAAATCGTGCGTGATGGGCAGAGCCTGACGGAGAGAAGTGTTGTGACCAAGGGTAAATTGGTCATCCTCCCCAGTTGGAGGGGCAGAAAGGTAAACTCTTTCCCAAGGAGGTTGGACTTAGGCAATTGGGACGTTCTGGGAGCAGAAGTGGATTGGGCCATGCCTAGCCATTGGGTCAGTCCGGAACAGTAGCCCCCCAAGTCGTTGCTATCGAGCATGGTAGTGATGACTTAAGGATGGTCTGTTTCCCGGGCAGAATCGTCGTATATTTCATCGTGTTCGGATGAACCTTGCCCGCGGACGTTGGTGTCGGGGATCTTGAGATTCAGGGAGCCCAACGGTTAATGGGATCTGAAGAGTGGGGATGCCACGCGTGCCTTGAGCTGTGTGCTGCATTAAATGCATGATGATGACTAGGCTAGGGTCATGATGATGCCTTACGCGCACGTGCTCGTGCATGGAGTACGCCTATAAATAGTGAGGGAGTCCGTTTGTCAGAACTTTTACTTCTCTTTCCTATTGTGCCCTTCTCTGCAACCGTCGTCCGCTGCCGTCAATTTTGCTCCGACCGTCGTACGACGCCCGACCAGAACCGCATTCCTTCCAACTTCTCTTCCTCGACCACGTAAGTGCACTAATCCTTGTTTGTTCTTTATTTTTCCTTGTTTTGAGGCTTTAGATTGCATGTGGTTAGGACTGAAATAACTTAGTTAGGGCATGTTTAGTGGTGGCTGTTGGTGGTAGACGGTGGCGCGACCATCTGTCTGCCGCCGCCAGCGTAGTTGGTTATTTAGGAAAGGTAAGTTAATAACCCTTAGGTTCAGATGATTCATGGTAGGGGAGACATAGTTGCGTCGCTGTTAGGCTATCACGACTTCTGGTAGTTTTTGTGTGAGGCCACTGATTTTGTGACCGGGGGTTATCCCCGGGTGCTTAGGTAGAACTGTCGGGCACCTTCCCTGTTTGTTTAGCTGCATCATTTGAGTAGGGCTTAGGTCGAGAATTCTCTTCTTCGGCCTTTTACGCACCCTTCACTTGACTAACAGTGGAAGAGTGGATTTGATTTTGCCATCGAATTCACTGTTTTCCTCTACTTTTCAGGTAAAAGAGATGTCGCGCAGGGAAGAAGAAGAACATCACATGGATTCATCCGAGGAGAGCTCCTCGGAGAGTACAAATATAGATGATAGTTCCTCGTCTCCCGAGGTCGTGGGGACGTCTACTGCGTTGTCGCTAGTGGACGAGTGGACCGTGGCCGAGCCTATGGAGCACGCGTCCATCTTCGCTTCTTATATCGGGGACACCTTCACCATGGTGGGATCGGAAGGAGAATGGAAGGTGCACTTTCCTTCTAGAGAAGACCGCATTTGCTCGGCATACGAGGAACACTTCCCTATGTATGAGTACGTCTTTAAGGAGATAGGGCTGAGGTTGCCCTTTATTGATTTTCAGCGTGCCGTCTTCGTCCATCTTGATCTGGCGCCTTCTCAGCTGCACCCGAATTCTCTCGCCTTCATGCGGGTGTAACACCCCAATCTAACACGACGGATAATTAAGGAAAACAGAATCAGAGTGCAGCAAATTTTGTAAACATGACGGTCGTAAGGAAGTTGTGACAACCGTCACATCAGCAAATTCTGGGCGTTACAATTTCAACTCATAGAAACATACATTTCATAACTCAATTAGACATTACGCATTAAGTAATGATACATAGCACAGAAGCCTAGATGAACATACAACAATAACTTGATTTACATTTTGATTACAAGGCATCTTATTAATTTGCAGCGGAATATAAAACATTTCCAACATTTAGCATGATTAAAGCAAGACCATGAAACTTGCAACAAAACTCCATTAAAATTCAGCAAGTAATTATCTTGCATCAATTCAACATAAACAACGAGTTTCAACCATAAAAATCAGCACTACTAATTCATCGGTATAGTGCATCCAACCAACATTTGCCACTTAACAGCAGCCACCAATTTAATGAAAAATACTTGATAAAATTCAGCAACAAGGAAATTAAATAAAAGCAATAACATGAATCGTTCATCCCCCCAAGAGTGCTACGTATCAGAGCGACCAACAACTTTAAACGGAAAGCTACCCTTATTCCGGATTACCTGCAAATTACCACCAACGGAGGTAACATACAACATAAAGGGTGAGATATCAACAACATAACATAAGGCATGATAAAAGTCATGTCAGAATATTATCACAGCATTATAATTCCAGCAGTTCGCATAAATATTAGTAATAATAAACTACAACCACCCTTTATTCATAACCACAACAATTATCATCATATCTTAGCAACTCATCAAAACAACTCAACAACGCAACTCAACAATGCGACTCAACAATGCAACTCAACTGTGCATATACATGTGGTACCATTTTGGGAGACAACACTCCACAATAATTCGGGAGACAACTCTCCACAATAATTCGGGAGACAACACTCCACAATAATTCGGGAGACAACTCTCCACAATCATTTTATTTGGTCATTAAAGACACAACCGT